TAGTTCTCTCTTTGGTACTGCAGCTCCCATTAATTACATTAGAAGTCTGCAGCAAAAAGAGTGTAATGAAAAGAAACTGGCACTCACAGCACATGATTCTTCTGCATGATCTACCATGGATAAACTGTGTCTTAAGAGTGCCTGTTTGTCAGAGAATTTTCCAACTTTGGAAATTAGATATCATTACCAACATCTGTTACATCTTGGGACACTAAGCAGACCTCCAGTCTTTCATAATTTGTTCCCTACTGCCAATTAAAACTAATGACTTGCCATTTTGAAAAACCTTTTGACTCTTTAACATCTTTTTGACACCTGTCCTTTAAGGAATCTTCTTTCAAACTCTGTCACTAAAAGCACCTTTTTCAGTGAAATTCGTATTAAAATGGAATTAAAAGCATGCTATGGCGTGGGGTTTTCCCTTCAAATCCTTATAGCTAGGAAGCACTGCTGATCTATAGAAGAATGTGTGCTGATTTTGAATGGGATAGAGTTAATTTACTTCACAGTAGCTGGTATGGGGCTGTGTTTTGGACTTGTGCTGGAAACAGCATTGATAACACAGGGATGTTTTTGTTATTGCTGAGTAGAGCTTACACAGAGCCGAGGCCTTTTCTTCTTCTCACCCCATCAGTGAGCGAGCTGAGGGTGCACCAGAATCTGGGAGGAGACACAGCCAGGACAGATGACCCCAAGTGATCAGAGGGATATTCCACAGCATATGACATTGTGCTCCATATATAAACTGGGGGGAAAAGAAGGAAGGGGGAGGATATTTGGAGTGATGGTGTTTATGGTGGTGGTGGAGCAGTGGTGGAGTCACCATCTCTGAAGGTGTTTGAGAGAAGACAGGACACAGCACTTAGAATGGTCTAATTGACATGGTGGTGTCTGGTCAAAGGGTGGACTTGATGATCTCAGAGGGCTTCTCCAACCTCCCTGATTCTGGGATTCTGTTTGTCTTCCCAAGTCACTGTTATGCATGCTGGAGCCCTGCTCTCCTGAGGATGGCTGAAAACCTGCCTGCCCATGGGAAATGGTGAACGAATTCCTTATGTTGCTTTGCTTGCATGTACAGCTTTTGCTTTAGCTATTAAACTGAGTTCTTTCACTTTTCTGATTCTCTCCCCCATCTTACCAGAGGGGGAGAGCACAAGCAGCTGTGTGGGGCTGAGCTAATGGCTGGTGTTAAACCACGACAGGATGTAGATTAGAAAATACAAGAGACGAGTATCAGAAACAGTAAGACAATCTAGGAATATCTCCTGGAAACGGCAAGAGAAAACAATAAAAAAGAAATGGGGAACAGTGAGACTACAAGCTGTGGTACCAGCCAGCGTGCGCTGAGGTCTCTGGTTGGGTAGTTAGCTCAGCCTTTCTTGCAGCAGAAGGGTGAAGGGATTTTGGAGCAGTTTCTGCTTCACAAGAACTTGGCACCACGTTTTAAAGCAAACTTGCACAACACTGGCACCACAGAAAGGAAACATGTTACACACTATGGAGCCCATGGAGGGGTTTGTTACTTTTGGGAGTTTAACGCAGCGTGGATGAGGGAGCGAGGAAAAGCAGTGGACAGCTCTAAAGGTTTACATAGACTGGAAGAATTTTGGTCACAGCTAGATCTCCACAGAAAACCTAATGGCACTGAACTTTCTAGTAGAGCCTTTTGCTAAAGAGCCTTTTTTGTCCCTTTTTCTAAAATAGGAAAAGAGATCTTGCATAACCTGTAAAAGGAAATAGGAGGCCCTTCTCCATCTGCTCCTTAAAAGGAGGAAGGTGATCAATTCTCTCAGGCATGGCCCAAGCCAAATGGTGTATTAGACATGTCCTGGGAATGTGCACCCAGATGAGCCTTGTAGAAATGTTTAAACATTTTGTTTTCAGTTCTGGAATGAGTGTGAGCTGGGATGTGCTTCTCAAGCCTGGGGGAATTCTTCACTGGAGCCATGGGCACAGCTACAGATCCTTGGTTAACATCAAATAAAAAAGTGTGGCATCTCTTGACTTACTTAACAACTGAAGTGCAGTTTTCAGAGTAACAATTTGAGATTGTAGTGTTTATATTCTGCCTAGATCTTATTTCTGACACTCAAATGTGTTACAATTTTGAAGTGACAGATAATACAAAACTAAAAATTTTGAGTTGACATGAAACAACCCTCATCCAGCATTTTTGGATCTTCAAATTCTTCATTATACAATGCAGGGTACAGTATTTGGTTTTATTTGTTTAGATAATTATTTTATGTAAAGTGAGCTTATATGTCTAGAATTTTCCCAATTTTTATTTTTAAAAACTGCATTTTGTCTTTCCCCCCCCCCCCATTGACTTTTATTAGAAACAACAGAAATTGCTTTCTTTTCAAGACCTCTTCAAACACAGTAAGTCACACTTTAACATTATGGTTCCAATACAAAATAATGAAATTCCAGTGTAAGAAAACTATACAAAATGATAGCTAGCAGGAAATTAATTCTTATTTTACTTCAATTTACTGCACTTTCAAAGTTGTAGATGTCCATACCGAGTCATACCTGTCAGGGAGAGCATATGACCTTCCATCCCCCTACCTGCTACATCGCAATGATAAGAAACACATCCTCACCTTCCTCTCAGTTCTACCAGCATAGCATGCATTTTGTTTCCAGAGTTCTTTTTCCTTCTGATGTCTAGAGTGCTGCTGAACATAAGGTAAAAAAATGAGCATGCAGCCATATAAGTGAATTTACAACAGAAAGATAAAATGTTCCCCAGGGGCTACCAGGAAATCATGCTGCATGTCAGAGGAGGAAGGAGGGGGAGTGGTGGGATCATGCTCATAAGCAGTAATGAATACAACAGATACAAACCTCCTCAACCTAAAGTGGTCAATGCAAGTGGTTCTGCTTATGCAAACAGTAAAAAACTAAATGAACACAGACAACAAATTTTTAAATCACATTTTTGGTGGGCAGGAAGTAAATGCCTTGTTGTTCGCATTCTGAAATTCTTCTGAAATTCAGTTCTGTACAACATTGACTGCACTGGCCCAACTGCTGTACAGGGCATTTTCTCAGTTTTCTATGGTAAACTCAATTCATAGTGGTGCTCCCTGAAATACTCCAGTACATTCCTGACAGTTTCACCAGGAAGTGTTTACTGGAGTTACTGGCTGTAGCCAGTATTTTACCTCTCTTAGATGCATCACCACACTTCAGCAACACCACATTACCCAAGGCTGCAAGAAATACAAATTCCCTGTCTAAAACTGCTGCCTTCTCGGAGTCCATTTTATCTTCAAGTGAAAAATAAAGAATTTAAACAGAGATCACACAAATTAATTTATCAATCATTTCTCTTCCCTGTGCCAGGACAAACAGTATTTACTTTCAACTAGAGTACCTTATTATCTGTAAATATTAACTCTGCCAAGTTCTAAGAAATATATATGGGATGTTTTCTACAGAGGCTGAAAGTGTACCATTATCTTCATTCTAATTCTCATTTCTTGGGTTATTTCACACAAAAATTGTTCAGTTGTTTTTAGGTGACTTGTTATTTCACCAGATGTCATATTTGCTTGCTTCATGGACAAGTAGTTTCTATAAATGTGCATGGGAGTAGAAGGACAATAAGAAAAAAAATACTGTATTGGAAATAATCTAAACCTATTTAATAAGCATTTTAATGTTAGCACATAACAAATATTGATTACCAATTTTTAATCTATAGTTTTACAGTTTAGTCTTAAAATAATACAAAAAAATTTAACAAAATTTCTAAGCATTGAAGCTGGATACCAAAAATTCATTTAATTAAATGTTTAAGACAACATACCAGATATGCTTATTTTTGATAGTTAGATATGAAACCCTGTGTTTCAAAAATACAGCACTGCAAACATCTTTAAAATATTTATTTGGTGAAATTTGTCAAGATGATTAAATACGTTTGTATTGATCCGCCTTTGCACTTCCCTGTTTGATCAAAAAGCCTGGCTCAAACATTAGATCTACAATATATTCTTGAGGAGGAAGCAGAAGCCCAGCTGTTCCCTTGGGAAAGTCATCAACCAATTTAACTTCATTCCAAGCTCTGTTATACTTGCCACGAACTAAACTACAGCCAATGCCAATTCTGTCCGCTATCACCTAAAAATGAAAGAAGTAGTAGTTAATCACAGTTCATCCATGTAGCTTCTGTGATGTACAGCAAGGCCCAGAGATGCTTATAAAGCAAACAAATACCTTAAAAGTGAAGTGTTTCTTGAAACAGACTTTATAAACCTCTCAAGCGTGCAAACCTTTATTCTTCATTCTGCTTAGAAAGTGTAGGCTTTTAAATATTATTTTGAGCATATTCAATGCACATCATGAAAAATATTAATTTTAACTCTTTTCAGATACTGATACATTTGTTTATTAGACCTCAAATGAAGTGCAACACCCACAATATCCAACAATGTTTTTTTTCTAGTTGGAAGACTTAATTCTGAATAGTATTTTGAAGTGTATTCAAGCAGTGAGGTGTAGGCCCAGTGCACACATACAGCTCATATGAAATATTAAGTGTAAAAATGTAACATTTTCATCAGTGTAAGTTTAGGACTCTTGCTTCGCTCCAAAGCACACTCCTTGCTTTTCAGCCCTGGAAATGTGGGAAGCAATGAAATGCAAGGCAAGTGCCTGCTAGATGAAACACCTGCCTTTCCTCTGTGCTGCACTATCACAGACAGACCTGTAATGGTTTCCAGCTACAAAACTGCTTTCTCACCATGCGTCTGCTGTGAAGGAATGAAGTCCTGGAAGATTTTTAACTTGTTACAAATGGACAAGGATATCCATTGCTTAGAGTGCTCTGGCTTTAAGAGATGAGCTGTTCCCTACAACGGTTTCTTAGGACAGTGGAGGATAATTAATTCACAGCCTCAGATCATTCATAAAATAAGTTGGGAACTTTCTCTCCCCATGGATACCATAAATTTAGGGTTGTGCTCTTTCTCCTGTGTGCTCTTTCCTAGGTCCTTCCAGCTCAATGTGCCAGGCCCTTGCTTCTCTTTTCCTTTCCATCCAAGAAAGAGAAAAATCCAGCTAAGGAAAAAGTATGGGACAGATAACCAGACTGCACCAGTACGTCTTCATATGAAGAAAGAAGAAATGAAACTTCCCAGAAGTTAATGCTTGTGAACTTCTAAGAAACTAGAACATAAAAGCTGTTATATACTATCATAGAACACTGGATAGATACCAAACAAAAATTGTCCCAACAAGTTTACATTTGCAGCATGGAAAAAGGAAGAAGCTGCATAATTCAATATTCTACAGTTTACAAAAAACGTAAAATGTTTTGACTCTAAATCAAATATTTTGGCTTTTTGCCATTTATCAAGTATTCTGCTGGTATCACTTAAGACAATTTAATGACAACAAGAATGCTTACAGAAAGAGGCAATGTTGGCTTTCATTCACTGGGAAATCAACTTTGCTGGTGAAAAATTACTAAAGCGTATACAAAAGATTTTACATGAATAAAAATATGGTATTATACTGATGCAAGTATAGTTTTGAATATCCATTTAAAATCAATATGTTATGTTGCAAAATAAATGTTAATGTACCTTGAAAAGTAAAGCCCTGTGATAGAACGTCCCTTTTTTGATTTTCCCGATAGGCACAATGTTGCATTTCAGTTCAAATTCTATTTCACTTATGTGAAGTTCCCAGCTGAAGTCATGTAGTTTGTCTCTTTCAATAGAGCCACCCATCCTGTCTGCAACAAACCTGTTCCAAATGCATACCAGGATCAATTACATCTACAGTTCCTCTTGTATTTATCACAAAAATGTAGCAAAATGAAATGTATACAACCAATAAGTGAATGCAATATGAGACTAATACTTTTTCTATGTTTGCTTAATTTTTCTAATTCAGTAATTGGTATTTTAAATATGCTTACTATAAATATAGATAACTATAACTCAGGTCATTCAAATTTGTCACAGACCTAAACCAAGGGGCAAAAACTGCCAGCAGAGATTCTGGAGAGGTCTAGTATAGGCATAAAGTCTTCAGAGAAAATCATCAATTACTGAGGAAGTAATTACAGAAGCTGGTGTTCATCTTCGCAGATAACAGATTAGGTGAGCTACATATTACATTTGTTTGAAATAGTAATAAACCCATGAGAATATATATGACAAAAATAAAGCCATAGGTAATGATGCCAACACAGAAAAGCAACTGTATTCATTGAAGGTACTTCTACATGTGCTTTCTTACACTGAAGCCTGTATTTTGGTGATGAGGGGTGAATGTGTATCCATTAAAACAAATGGCTCAGTCACAGAAACAGATCAGAACTCACAATTTGTGCCAACTCTGCCAAAAGGATGTCTTTTGGGTGAGTGCACACACACAAGACTAAGCCCTGATTCATCAGTCCCTACCTCCTCATACACACACCTTCACCTGCATGGTCCCTGTATGGAAAGACCTTTGTTCCCTGCAGTGTCTCCAGCCACAGGCACAAGGGTTATTGAGGGGCTCTTACCCTGGACAAGATGTCACAGAGGTGACATGGAAATCACAAGCCATTGCTTCAGACAGGGAGCTAAAATCTGCATCTCCTCCTCTACAGAAACTGTGAACAGGTTCTGTCTGCACAGCACAAGCAAGGCAACCTCCGAGGCCTCATTTCTCAAACTGAGGGCTGAGGAAGCACTGGTTCCAACAGCACAGGCATGGGAAGCTATCACCAGGCAGGCTGGATGTGGTATCTTGAAGCTGGGAATTACTGGCTGAAGCTGGAATAGTGTGGGCTCCAGGCAGTCCCTCGTGCTGCGTGTGCCCACGGCCAGCCCTCACTGAACACAGCAAAGCTGCCTGAGCTGACGTGCTCAGCACCGCCGTGTGTGCACAAAGGTGCGCTGTGTTTGTTCCAAAGGACACATCCAGCACTGCTGGTGTTCCCTCATCCAGCCCGACCCGCTCTCTGGTGAGCAGAGCAGGAACTCTGCCCAGGCTGCCAGGCTGCTGAGGGATGCAGCAGCTGCCTTTTCCTCCCCTCCCTGTTGAACACACGCTATTCAGGCAGCCACTTAAAATGGAACACGCACAGAAAAATCCCCAGAAAAAAACCGTTCTGCTTAAATTTCCCATGATTGTTTCACTGGACTGTGTGTCTGCAAGTATTTCACTGGTTAGAAGGCTGAACTTTAAAGAGCATTTTATGGATTCCACCTTGAGGAAGGCAGCATGATTTATACACAGCTGGATAGTTAAGGATGAATATCTGTCCTTTCAAACTCTGCAATCAACAGAAAAGTCATTCCTCATATCACATTAGACCACTTCATTAAAAATGAGAGTTAGTGGAAGTAACAAATTTTGTGAGACTCAGTGGGATCTGACACCAAACTCTCCAGATTCAGGAGGCAGCCAGGAAACTGCTAAGATAATAAAGGTTAAACTAAGGAGAAGATGAAAGCAGTCACACTGCTTGGAGGTGACAGTGATTGGTGCCCAGGCTGAATAGTCAGTGTAACTAATGAATCACACATTGATAACAACAGTCTGTACATGCACCAATGCAATATTCTGGCACTATTAAACCATCAGGATATTAATTACAACAGGATCTAAAAACTGCATTAGAAAACTTGTCTCATGTTTTTGGCTCTACAGGAAAACAAAATACAAGAGAGTTGCTGTCCCGAGGGGCTTCCAAACCAAGTAGATAAGAAACATGGTAAGAGAAAGAACAGATATGATACATGTAAGCTGCAACTGTCTTGACTGTTAGGTTGGGGTTCTAGCTTGTGGTTTTAGGCTTTGCAGCACCTGGGTCTCTGGAGCTCCTTGATGATATAGATGCTATAGGAAGCTGATGTGTTCATTGGAAAGGATCAGTACAGTTTCATATAAATGTGAAAAAAAACCCTAAAATTGCCCGTATGAATATTTTCAAAATGAAAAAATTACATCCTTTTGTTGCAAGTGATACTTTATTTCAAAAATATTAAGCTAAAGCACCAGAATTAGAACAAGAAGCTTAAAATCTAAAATCATGTCAACATGGTGGAACAAAGCTGATTTGTATTCCAGTTAAGAAGGGGAAAAAAAATGAATTTGGAAAAGTTGCTCTTGGATAAGAAAACAGTTATTTTACTAATTCAACTTTTGGAATATAATTTGGTACTCACTGTGCAAGGGCCACAACCTGTTCCCGGGTAGTAGTTAGTGGTAGAATTGTTTTGGAAGCATCATTAATGTAATCCATTAAAATGATGTCAGATGGAGGTAGCCAAAGTGAATTTTCTAGATTTATTTCTTCCTGGTCTTCAGGTGTAATATCAGTAACTTCTTTTGCTTTTTCCTCTTCTTTTTTCCCCTTTCCTTTTCTTACATAGAAAAAAATATACATTTATTTAGAATACTGTAATCTCTAAAGTTCAAATTCAAATACAGTAGTTCTCCACCAGGACATTTACACAAATTGATTAGGGAAGGATGGAAAGTAGGAGAAGTCTTTTCTCTTAACAACGAATATCCAAAATGTATAAAGCTGTAGAGAACACTTGTGGAACATTCCCGCAGGAGATGGTTAGGAACCAAGTGTCACTATCTCTCCATTAACAGTGTTGTAAATTGTCATTTTATTTTTGTCAATGGCTCTGGTATGTCTTTCCCATATATGGCTTATCTAGGGGAGGAGACTCTTACCTACTACATACAGAAAGATCTTTAGACAGTTATGGTTTGGTTCCAATGGATATGAACTAAGAATCATGACCTCCAGTGACTTTTTACTTGATAAAAATCTGGACTTCAAATAAAGGAACAAATGGTATCAAGAGCATGGCTGAAATCTTGAGAGGACATTCCAAGAGATAATCTCTGTACTTGCAAGTCCAGGTTCTTCAAGTGTTATGTAAGCTGCAACATGGTTTGTCAGAGGAAGATTTTACAAGAAGCGTGTGGTTTTGTTGACTTTTTTTCATTGCTCGTGCTTCATATTTCACTAATGCTTGGGATCTGAAAATAACTGTGATCCTGAACAGGCATCATAAGCACCCAGCAGAAGTATAAATGAAATTATTGTTCTACTTAGATTAAATATTGTGCATTTCACAAGTTATGCAGCAGCTATAAAATCAGTATCTTACCGGAGGTATCATTACGGTCTATACAATCAGACAGTTTAGGATTTTTCATTTGTGGGAACACATGAAACTAGTGTTTTTTAAGCATTATGTCTTTTTCAGCATAAATCCTGAATAATTCTACTGTGAAATATGACAAAATTTCTTTCCTTCATTTAACAGCTCTGTCTTATTTTTAAAAATCTATAGTATTTCTGGTGTTCTTGGAAGGAAAGAGGAAAAAAAAGAAATACAGAACCACTAGAGTACATGGCTCCAGGACACACTATCATTATTGTATGCTCTTCAAATTATTCTTAAAATTTTTACAATGAAACAGAACTCTTAAGATGGAAGGGATTGGGCAAAGCAAAAGGGTGTACATCATTATAAGTAGTTGAATTCAAGCACTTTGTCTGCAGAATACTTTGCAAACTTTTCTTTAACCCGTCGAGATTTACCATATTCTCAAAAAGCCCTTTTCATAGGTGTCATAAAGCACATTATTTTAGAGGGATAACCAATTAAGATTTAATCTTAAAATTACAGAAAATTTACCACCCTCTTAAATGAACTGATCTGATTATTAACTACATGTATACTTGAAAAAAACAGTTTTCTTTATTTAATTTGACTCTATCTAACTATAGCCAGGGAACCTTATAACGCTATATTAAACAGCCTCTTACTTATCCATTTATACACTTACACACTATGATTAAAAGTGCCCTGTTTAAAAAAAATGAATTACTCCAAACTCTCTGGTGTCCGACTTAGCAGGTTTTCAAAGGAACAACTTCTACAAATGCTATAATTCTTGTTTCTTGACCATTTTCTCTCTCTTCCCCCTTTATCCCTTCTCTCCTCCCAGTACTTTCTTTCCCTATAAAAAGTGCACCATTAAATTACAGTGCTATAGCAGGAGAATTTCTTCCTTATT